AAGACATGGAGGCTGATTTCTTCCTCCACTTGCCTTAGTCTAACATTCTTCTCTTTTGCTCCCCACTTAATTTCCTTGACTTTTGAAGGAATTGTAATTGCGGGGAAGAGGAGATCTCAGAGGGATGGCTAGATTTTCAGAACGTTCCTCAGCGGTGTGGCAGTGCCCACACGTGCTGGCCAGTGTTCTGGGATCCCCTCCTCAACTCTTCCCCTGTTTATGCAGTAGCCTGCAGTGCCCTGATATTTCAGCTGCCAACCGGTCCATAGATACTCCTTCCCTGGAGGTCTTTAAAAATAGAACGAAATACCCATTTACCCATCATGGTTTTGATGCAGTCCTGCTGATGAGAAGGAATAGACTAGTTTTTTTCTGGCAAGGTTCATTTCAGTCCTGAGTGCTCTTAAGTGGATGACTTTGCTTTGTGGTGAGGGAAGGGTGGATGGAAAATGACACTATATGAATTTATTGGTGTATCGCTGTACACGTCCTGGCGCAATAGAACGAGACGCAGCTTTCTCATGATGTTCATGTTTCTGAAGCACTTAGGGCATTTGGAGCCTCACAGCAAGTGGGTGAGGTAGGTAGGGCCCTAGAAGGGTCAGCAAGACACAGAGGCGGTTAATTCCCAGCCCCAGCCCCACCTGGCCCCAGCAGCATGGAGCTGCTGTGCCTGGCTGCCTGCTCACCGGGCGCATGCTGCTTTCTGTTGATCCTGTGGCTTCTTAGTGGGGTTTGCTGTTTTACCAGCAGTGTCCGGACATCTGATTTGAAGCCGTAAAATTTTAGAGGAATAAAAATTTTGGAAACCTACTTAGGAGACATGACCTACTCTACTTTCCCTTCTAGAAAATATATATTGTCATTTTATACTGTAGTAAGATTTATGGCCATCCTTACACAGACATACATACTTTCACGTGTATTTGCTTGCTGGATGCATTTGTATGTATGTGTTTGTGTGTGTGTATATGGAGGTAATAGTGCATGTTGCATTTATGTGGATGTATATAGGTAGAGAGCTGTGTGTGCAGGTATATGTATACATGTGCATGTCTGTGTGTGTTCTGTGGGTGCATGCACATGTGTGCTCACATGTATGTGTTTACATCTTGGTCTGATTGCAGTAGGAATGGCAGAAGTCCACTTGATTAGAAGTGAGAGGCAGTTTCCAGCACTGTGGTGTGGTTAGGGAATGGTGAGGTGCCCACAGGTCCAGGCAGTTATGAGAACACTGCATCCAAAGCTATGGACACTTGGGTCCTGGTAGAGGGGCTGCCTATAAGGAGTCATGCCAGGGAGGATGAAGCCATAATCAGAGCAGGACACCACAGCATGCCTACCTCCTCCTCCTCTCCCTGCCTTCCAATTATGTCCCTGAGTCCTGTGTAGAAGAGAGACTGCCAGAGTAAGCACACCGCTCAAGGGTCTCTTCCTGGGGTGACAGCAGGCAGAGGGGAAGTGAATGGAGCGAGGCGGGAGGTCCAGGGAGAATAACCAGGCATGTGCCTGCCTGCTTGCCTGCACGTATGCACAGATCTGCCCCTACTTTCCCTGTTTCACCTTAGACTTGAAAATTTGACATGGACCATCATGACTGTATTTGTTTAACTGTTTAGATAAAGTGTCAACCTTTGTTTCCTGAATTAAGAAAAAGTGTAAGTGGGCTTTCTTGGTGACTGTCCCAGGTTGTTCATGACCAAAAATTGGAAATGTTCTTTTTAATATTTCAATTACCCATTGCTATTAAAATGCTGTTACTTTTGGACATATTCAGTAGACAATGCTAGTAAATTAAATATTTTTTAAAAATTTTTTTTAAAAATGAAAGAAGGAAAACATATTAACAAACAGATGTCCATTTACAAAATAGCATAAGAACAATACAAGCAATACAGAGTTACAGACAAAGTGGTAGGAAATTAACAATAGTTATTGTAAAACAGAGACATGCAAGAGTTATCAAATAATTAATCATTAACTGCTCCTTTCGGTAAAGCAGTATAAGTCAGTAGTACAATTATGTTAGCTATTCTGTATATACATACATACATAATTTCCCCTTCTTTCTTTTCTCTTTTCCCTCACCCCAGTTGCTCTTCACTTTTGAGCATTTTCCTTTCGTTTCACAATGTCTGTCATACCTCCTAATTTTTATTCACTCTTTCAGGTTCATACACTAGTGAGACAATACATTGCTTACACATGGAGGTCTGGTTTATTTCACTTATGAGTATGGTCTCCAGTTGTGACCATTTACTTGTAAAAGCCTCGAGTTTATCTTTCTTTATAGCTGAGTAATATTCCATTATATAAAAGTACCACAATTTTTTTACCCATTCCTTAGTGGATGGACATTTGGGTTGCTCCCACAATTTAGCAATTACAGATTGCACTGCTATAAACATGGGTGCACATACATCACTGTGATATAGAGAACTACAGACCAATCTCCCTAATGAATATAGATGCAAAGGTACTCCATAAACTACTAGCAAATAGAATGCAGCAAATCATCAAGAAAATCATACACCATGACCAAGTTGGATTCATTCCAGGAATACAGGGATGGTTCAATATTTACAAATCAATTAATGTTATACACCATATCAACAGAGCTAAAGACAAAAACCACATGATCATCTCAATAGATGCAGAAAAAGCTTTTCACAAGGTCCAACATGCATTCATGATAAAAACTCTACAGAAAATAGGAATAGATGGTCTTTACCTCAATCTGATCAAAGCCATCTATGACAAGCCAACAGCCAACATCATACTAAATGGCCAGAAACTGAGAGCTTTTACTTTAAAATCAGAAACAAGACAAGGATGTCCACTGTCACCACTCCTATTCAACATAGTTTCAGAAGCATTCACCAGAGCAATTAGACAAAAGAGAGAAATAAAAGGAATAAAGATAGGAAAGGAGGAAGTAAAATTATTGCTATTTGCAGATGACATGATACTTTATATGGGAGAACCCAAAAACTCCACAAGAAGACTCCTTGAATTAATTGACAAATTCAGCAGTGTAGCTGGATACAAAGTCAACACCCAAAAATCGATAGCATTCCTATACACAAACAACAAACAGACTGAGAGAGAAATTAAGGAAACCATACCTTTCACAATAACATCCAAGAAATTGAGATATTTAGGAATCAATCTAACAAAAGAAGTCAAAGATCTCTTCAATGAAAACTACAGTACTCTGAAAAAAGAGGTCAAAGATTTCAGTAAATGGAAAAACGTTCCTTGCTCATGGATAGGAAGAACCAATGTTGTGAAAATGGCTATACTACCAAAATTGTTGTACAGATTCAATGCAGTTCCCATTCAACTACCATTAGCATGCCTCACAGATCTAAAGAAAACATTCCTTAAATTCATCTGGAATTAGAAGAGACCCAGAACAGCAAAAGCAATCTTGGGCAACAAAGGCAAGTCAGGTGGAATCACAATCCCTGACCTGAAATTATACTACAAAGCTACTATAATAAAATCAACCTGATACTGGTTGAATATTTTTTTGAAAGAGAAAAATATAGCGTTTACAAATTAATCCTGTTAGTACCAAGTGTGCTAACTGTAGGATGCCAAAATAGAATTATTTTGTGTGTTTTTTCCACTTACTTTGATATTTGTTCGATGTGCTTATTTAGAATTTAGAGGCAGCCTTTTTGTTTTGAGATATTTGTTTTTTTAAACTCTAAAATGTTTATAGGATTTTCTGAAATCAAAACCGTGAAATGAAATACATTGAGATAATCACTTTTGTTTTATTTCTTCTTTCCTGCTTTGACCTTTTCTTGGTAAATATTTTTTTTTCTTTTATTAGCTTTGATTCATCTCTCCTTTATTTCTTTTGAATATGTAAGTTGATGTGTTTATATAGCATAAATTCTTTCCTTTATTAACTGGATGGTAACAGACAGGACACACATGTCTGCAGTTTGCTTTTTACTTCTCCCAGATCCTGGAGATCACTCAGTAAATATATGGAGATCTGCCTTGTACCTTTTGACAGTTCCATTATGCAGCTGTGCTACAGTTTCTTTAACCTGTCCCTTGTTGATGGGCATTTGGGTTATTTCCAGTTTTTTGCTCTTATAGTACTGAAATGAATAATATTGTCTGTTTATCATCTCATATTTTTAGTAGTATAGTACTAGTGGGGATTGATTTTTATGAGAAGAGCTGTTGGGTTAAAAAGTAAATGAATGTGTAATTTAGCTAGATATTGCCAAATCCCCCTCCACTGGGGCTGAACTATTTGTCCTCCTAACAATAATATACCGCAGGGTCTATTCCTTCACAGTCTCACCAACAGAGTATGTTGTCAAAAGTTTTGCTAATTTGAAAGATACAACATGGTTTCTCATGTTTTAACTTGTATTTCTCTTATCCTTAGCAAGATCTAGCATTCTTTTTTACTGCTGAGCACTACATGCAACTTTTTTCTTTTTCTGTGAACTGTTTGTTCGTCTTTCGTCCGTCCTGTGTTCCATTCTGGCTCATTCTGAGCTAAGAGTGGTTTCCCACTCGCAGGTTGTAAAGTAATTCCCTTGTGTGTTCTTCTGTGGTTTCATATTTTACATTTGGATCCCATTTGGAATTTATCTTGGTGTGAGAGATGAGGAGTTGATCCAATTATATATTTTCCCATGATGCTGCAGCATTATTTGTTAAGGAATGTGCCTTTTCCTCAATGTCTTGGATACTTTTTTTCATGCATACTTGGGTCGGTTCCTGATCATTTATCTGATTCTGTTAATGCTCTAGTAATAGACTGCTTCACAATACTTTATAATAATTGATTAGAAGTCTTTTTAAACAAAACAAATGGTGACATGATTCCTGTGATTACAGAAATATACAGTTTAAAGTGGAAGAATATTTAGGGTTACCTTATGAGTGGACTACTTTCATCCCATTTTGCAAAGAAGGGAAGTGGAAATTTGTCGAGATATCCTATGAATGGGCTTCTTTTATTGCAGGATCACCCAGCTAATCAGCCATGGGATAAGCCACTAAGTTCTCAACCAATGCATTGCATGATTTTCTAAAAAAATGTATGATTCTCTCAAAAACATGGATGATTGATCTCCCATCAAGGACCTAGACCCAGGTTGGATGTCTTGTTATATTTTCTTAATTTTGTATATTTAAAATAATATATCATTTAGTTTATTTTTGATCATAACAACATGCTTTTTAGAACACTTGAAAACTGACATGAGCAATAATAATAACAAAGAAAAATTATAGAATCACTCTACAGACCCCTAGAGATGTACTTTTTTTTTTTTGGTTTTTTTTTTTTTGGTTTTTCTCCGGCACCGGGAACCGAACTCATGACCTTGCACTTGCCAGGCAGGCGCTTTGCCGCTGAGCTAAATCCCCAGCCCCGAGATGTACTTTTTAACTTAATTCTTTCCAGAATTTTTAAATTCATGATATCCTGCTTAATTATGATCACGTTAAGTGGAAACAATTTTGAGAGAATGATAATAACGTGAAGTATTTCCTTAGCACATATTTAAGTGCTCTGATGAAAATGGTCTGATTAAAGTGCTCTAAATCTATCCCCTTATTTATCACAAAACCTGAGGATGCAATTTTTGTTATTGGAACATTATTGATGAGTAATCTTGGCTTTGGTAAATTAAATAACTTGCCCAGCCTCCCAGAGCTATTAAACAATGGAGCTTGGACTCTAATTCCTGCGTTTACTCCAGCATTTATATTAAGCATTATGTACACTGTGTCCTGCACACAGCATTTTGAGTCCTTTTAATTTGTTAACATTTTAACTGAATCACTCATCTTTATTTCTTCAGTGATCATATTACATTTTATTCATAGTAAAATAACACAATTAGATTACTTCTACCAGATTTGGAGAAGAAGGAGTTAAATATTTTTCCTTGCTTTTTTCTTTAGACATTATTAATACAATCTTTACTTCTGTTTAGGAAAGCATCTTGGAAGTGAGGTAGAATAATGTGGAGTCCAGGGTCATACAGAAACACACATTAATTTTATAGACATGTTTCTAAGTGTTTTACTTGATGTTCAGAGAGTTTACTTTCCTGTGTTCACCTGAGCATCCTCCTTGCAAGTTTGTTTATATCAAAACTTGCAAAATTGTCTTCATCTCCCTAGCGTTTCCCAGATCCCCATCATCCCAAGTTCCAAATGACATACATAATGCATAGTGACGTGTGTCTGACCTGTGAATACTTTGGAGCATTATGTGCAATTGGAAATAAATAAAATACTTATTCCCTGAACCTCTTCGGCTTGAATCCTAACTCGGAAAAGAGAGTGAGGATGTATTTCCTGGGCACTGTTGACATCAGTAGATATATCCACAAGAAAGATGAAAACTTTATTGCTGTTATACATTTGTTCCCTAAGAGAAATACTACAGAGGCCTGTTTAAAGAAAGAAGTGAATTAAATGTGGCAAGACAGTGTGAAATTAAAATACTAGTGACTATTGCAGAGGATAATGATTTGGCAACATTTTAAGTGTCATTTTGTCTGTGTTCTAGGGGAGAATATAATGGTAGACTTTAGGATTTGCATAATAGTAGACTTTTAACTTGGCAAAAGGTTAATACTGTCCACAGACTAGCTTTGTGCTAGGTGCACATGGGACATTAGGCTAACCCAAGTGTAGTTCCTGTCATCAAGAGGCTTAGAATTTAGTGTGCAAGGGAATCTTATTGTTTCACCGTACTGTCCCTTTCAGTAAATAAAAATTTGAGTTCAGTCTCCAATATGTTATATGTACTATCAATTACATACATGCCAAATTCCCCTCCACTGGGGCTGAACCATTTGTCCTCCTAACAATAATATACAGCAGGGTCTATTCCTCCACAGTCTCACCAAATTAATAGGTTTCTTTCTTAAACTTTAGGACCAAAAATATGTGAGTAGATGTCTTAGTGATGCTTTTTGCATGTTGCTGAGTGTAGAATACATACTATACACTCCTCTGCAAATCTCACTGACCCACCAGTAGAATGGTACAATACGAAATTGCCTGGTGCCTGGAGGACTTTGATTAGGACACATGTATACCTAAATACTGCATCAGCAATACGGTTCCTCTTGTCAGGTGCAGTGTCTGCTTTTGGTGCCATCAGCTATAGCTGGGTATGTGATTGAAAAGTCTGCACATAAACAGCTGGACCTGAGCATAGTGCAAACTGGATGGGTAAATTTTCTGACACATCTGCTATAGTTGTATTGATGATTTTATCCTGTTTTCAGACGCGACTGTTCTGAAGGTATGTGCATTGTTGTAAAATGCAGAAAAGGCTAACAGCCCCCAAAAGAACACGCCAGTATTTGAACATAAATGTTCCCAGTTCATGAACATAAATGTGCATGGTTACATATAAACAAATGCTGTAGGATCATATTCATTCAGAGAATAACATACCACAAGCAAGGTGTACTTAACCTAAGAATGCAAGGGTGGTTCAATATTAGAAGTCTATTTGTATAATAAAATTAGTATACTATTGATGATAATCAGAAACTCAAATAAGAAATGCCATCTGGTGCCCAAAAAGTATTTGATAAAGCCCAACAACAGTTTCTAAAACAGTATGTCAAACACGTAGTTTTTGTGGTTATTTCTACTATTACTGGAGTAAACTCTGAATATTCATCATTTTTATGATCGGACAAGACTATATGAAAGATTTTTAAAAGCACCTTAGTGTGGATAACAGGCTTCTTTGTATTCCAAGTTCCTAATCCAGGTAATAGCCCCTCATAAATATTTTTAATGAAATAGTTCATTAAGGCCATTTATTTTGAGAATTATTAAGGAAACAGAATAGAGAACATATTTCTTTGACTCACGAGAGACCTTCTTTCCTATATTGAACGTGAAGGATCCGCAGTGTCTTTGGGAGAATGAATTGCTTTTCTGTAGGAGATGCCTTTGAAAATGCTTCTGTGTGCTTGCTCTGAGGTTCACCAGTGGTCCCTTGAACTCTGATGTCTCTTTCCGAGCTGCATCAATACTCCAAGAACGACCTCTTAGTTTCCCTAATTGATGGCTGCTGCTCCAGCTGAGTGGTTCCATCCAAGCCTTAACATGCTGATGCCTAAGCCCATTTCCCTTCTGTCCGAGAGCTCTCAGTGTCTTAGCACTCCTTTCCTCTATCCTACATGCCCATCTCTCGTGCAGCCTACAGCTTTAATATCTCTCATATCTTTACCTTTATCTAACTTCATGACCCTGGCGTAGACAAACATTTAGAAGTCTTCTGATTTTCTCTTTTCTCCTAGCTCAGCTACCCTACCTCCACAGCAACTAGATTAATCTTCCTCTATTGGATTTGTATGCTACTCCCCTGCTTAAAACATTGTGACTCAAAGCTTCTGATCGAATTACGTAAAAAATTATTGGCTTGACATTTGAAGCTGTCTCCATTCTGCCTTTTATGCGTTTTGTACTCCTACAGCTTTTTTGTGCTGCACTGAACTTGTTCCTCTTGGGACCATAGTATGGCGGTTCCATTGTCTTTGTGGTGTATCTTTCAATCTTCATTTTCTCACTTTGGAAAAACTGACTCATCTTTATAATGTGCGGATCCAAGACCATGTTCATCAACTTTCGAGTCTTCCTGATATTTAGATTTCCTCTATACTCTGAGCCTCACAACAATCGCTTCTTTGATGAGTTCTTTATATTCTCTGATTGCTTTGTTTCTACTCATAGATGCTAAGAGCTTTGAGTAGGAAAGGCTGCATTGCATTTGGTTTTTTATTTCTTGTGGTTGCTTAGCATAATGATTTATGCTTTATAGTCTCAATATTGACATTTTGAGTCAAATTGTATATATCGAACATAACATATACATCAACAATATTTGTATTTCAAATATCAATGCCATTGTTTTGTTCTTTACATATCTCCTTTGGGAGATGGCAAAAAAGTGGAAAACATTAAACAGAACTAGTATCAAATATAGTTATATGAGATACCTAGGCTGTTGTTGAAAAGTGAGTTTTTGTTCTCTACACATTCATTTTTGCAGAAGAACTAACATACTGTTAGTGAGAAGACTGATAAAGGTGATGATACCTTAAGAGACAGAATGCTAATTAAGTTGGAGAATAAGGTAAAATAGTGCCTATTAAGATAACTAGTTCTTCATTTTTGATGACCCAAAAACTTTATGTTTTGTATTGAGTCAAAATGCCAGGAATTTTTGCAGCAGCTTAAATGCTTTGATAAATACCTACCTGTGTTTCAGAGCTTTAGAGAGCGACATTGCCTGAACAGCTAGCTTGAACTCCCTATGAGATCGCTGGAGGGATAAATACTTAAAAGCTTTTCAAAGGCATACTCTTGGCTCTATGAGAATTTAATTTCCCACTGATTATGTTTATATTGCTTTGGAACACGCAGGCATGGCTGTACTAAGCGTCGTTACATCCCTGATCATTTCCTATGCCCTGGGAATACACTTCTCTTCTGTGCGCATAGAGGATCCGCTTATACTGTCTTACATATGTGGACTTGAGTTCAGTGTACTGATTTTAAAATTAGACCGTGAGCATGTGTTTGTAGTTGTTTAAAGGCTGTGGTTTTAGAACAGTTCAAAAATATTTGGATACATCTGGGAATGGATTTTGTAGATGTCTTATACTTTCTTAGCCATCCAACATGACTTGGTTTGGTTTTGAGCGATATTCATAATATAAACATGAGTTTTAAAAAGTGCACTTGAGCCATATCATTTCACAAACTGAATATATTTTCAAGTGATACATAATTATCTAGAAAATCTTGGTTTGAATAATCCTATTGATTTGGATGGCATTTCCTTTCTAGAGTCTATGAGAATTCTGTGAGATAAAGGATTTAAAGGACTTATCATGATAATTATTGTTTAACATAGGCTATTTCTATTTCTCTTTGGCCAAAACAAATAAACAAACCAAACAGTAACAAGCAGTTTGACAAAAGTGATTTGACAAAGGAATTTGGTATTAGATGATGTTTTTATCTTTGAAATCCTTGTACCATGGCTAAGTACAAGTTGAGTATCCCTTATTAGAAATGCTTAGAACTAGACGTATTTCGAATTTTGGA